AAAGATGAGTGGTGTGTGATGAGTGGTGTAAGATGGGTGGTGGTGTAAGATGAGTGGTGTGTGATGAGTGGTGTGTGATAAGCGGGGCGCGTGCAGTTTCAGAAGCTCCTGCACATAGCTCAGCTGCTGCTGCGGATTCCTGCGCTTCTGACTCTGTCTTGGTACTCGTCAAAGGTGGCGACGATGTCCACACAAGCCTGTCCGTTCGGACTCAGAAAAATCTCGCCCACAGATCCACTCTCTGGATCCACTCGACGAACTCGCATCCAGCCTTTCAACACCAGATCGACGCCAGGTCGACTGAAGATGACGGGTTCCGGAGCGTCGCCCTTGTCCACGACGTGACTGCCGCATAAAGCATATCTGCGTTCTCTTCCTTTCGGACTCGTTGGCCCCATCGAGATCCATTTCAGAGTTCTGATCCTGCTGTCTACCTTTGCGTGTTTCATCCACCTCTTCTCCTCCTCTTTCTTCTCATGCCGCCTTTGGGCTTGTGCGCGCTCTACCCAAGCCAGTGAAAGAAGTCAATCTTGTCCGTTGGAATGCGGTGGGCCCCTGACCAGATCCATGCCCTTTCTTCGTCCACATCTCGCCGCCCTTCGTCGCAGTGGTCAGCGGGGCCGCGGGGTGAAGCGTCAGCTGCCTCCAGAAAGGGATGCTCCCTTCGCCAACCAGAAGTGGCAGCACCGCACACAGTCCCCGTGAGCAGCATACAGAAATAGACAATGTTCACGCTCCTCCTCCGCCTTGCCCTGACGTCGCTTCCGTGTTTTCTTGCCAACGCGAACAGAAGGGATGCATTTCAGAGTTCTGATCCTTCTGTACACCTTTGGGTGTTCCATCCTCCTCTTCTTCTCCTCTTTCTTCTCACGCCGTTTTTGCGCTTGCGCATGTTCTGCCTGCGGCGCCCACGCGCGCCGCAGCTGATCCAGGAGGCTCTGCGCCCTGCGCCTGCCACGAAATCTGCACTAAGCCACGCGCGGCCCACCGGCGCCCACGCGCGCCGCAGCTGACCCTGTGTACTGCGCCTGCCACAAAATCTGCACTCCAGGCTCACCAAGTACTGCGCCTGCCACGAACTCTACACTGCAGGTTCACCAAGTGGTGCACCTGCCACGAAATCTATACTCAGCCACACGGCGCCTGCCACGAAATCTACACTCCAGGCTCACCAACACTGCAGGTTCACCAAGTGCTGCACCTGCCACGAAATCTATACTCAGCCACACGGCGCCTGGCTCACCAAGTACACTGCAGGTTCACCAAGTGCTGCGCCTGCCGCGAAATCTGTACTCAGCCACACGCGGCCCACGCGGCCCAGCGGCGCCCACGCGCGCCTCAGCTGATCCGGGAGGCTCTGCGTACTGCGCCTGCCATCAAATCTACACTCCAGGCTAACCAAGTACTGCGCCTGCCACGAGATCTACATTGCAAGTTCACCAAGTACGGCGCAGCCGATCCCACGAAACCTACTCCAGGCTCCCCAAGTACTGCGCCTGCCACGAAACCTACACTGCAGGTTCACCCAGCGCTGCGCCTGCCACGAAATCTGTACTGAGCCACACAAGGCCCAGCGGCGCCCACGCACGCCACAGCTGATCCGGGAGGCTCTGTGTACTGCGCCTGCCACAAAATCTGCACGCCAAGCTCACCAAGTACTGCGCCTGCCACGAAAGGATCACCAAGTGCTGCGCCTGCCCCGAAATCTGTACTCAGGCCCACAGCGGCGCCCACGCGCGCCGCAGCTGATCCGGGAGGCTTGGTGTACTGCGCGTGCACAAAATCTGCACTCCAGGCCCGCCAAGTACAGCGCCTGCCACGAGTGGAGTTGTGTAAGATGAGTGGTGCAAGATGGGTGGTGTGAGATAGGTGGTGTAAGATAGGTGGTGTGAGTTGAGTGGTGTAAGATGAGTGGTGTAAGATGAGTGGTGTGAGTTGAGTGGTGTAAGATGTGTAAGATGAGTGGTGTAAGATAGGTGGTGTAAGTTGAGCGGTGTAAGATGAGTGGTGTAAGATAGGTACGATGAGTGGTGTAAGATGAGCGGCGGCGGCGGGAGGCGGGAGGCGGAGCGGCGGTTGGAGAGCGAAAAACTACAACTTGAGAGGAGGGAGACACGAAAGGTAGGACAGCGGGAAGAGAAGAGAACGCGAGAGGCAGGAACAAAAATGCAATGTTCGACATGGTGATTTATCCCCTCGGAGGCGACCTTTCGTACATATATGTTCATATGCACTTTAAATGTTCAAACATGTGCTCTAGAAATGTCCAAAAGGAATCTTAGGAAAACAAACTTGCCCCATGGCTCAGATCATCGGTGGCATTGAATCGGAACATCATAGGATTTGAACTATCCTGAAACCATAAGAGGCTCACGAAGACGCTCCCCAGGAGAGAATTGACGTGCTTCACAGAACACCTTTCGTGATTAGAATTTCATATTCACTCTT